GCCCCCCGCCCCAATCCCACCATTAAAAATCCCAGTCTTGTGCATGTGAATGTGTGCGTATGTGTGCGTGTCCCTGCGCGTGTCTGTTGACATTTTCCCTGCGTTCCCCTGAGAGAGGAGACAGAGGAAGAGCAAAAAGTATTCCCACGTTCTCTCTGGAGATCTCAGATCTGCCATGTTTGCTCCACTTTTTCCTTTTTCTTTTAACACTTCTTCAAAAATCTTCTCCCCTCTCTCTATACCCTTTGCCTTTTCTTCTTCTTCCTCGTGTCATATGGTGTGCGCTGAAGCTGATCAGTTCCCTCCTTTGTGTGAGATGCTTGGAGCCGTTTTAAGTGCTCCCCTCGGCCTCTAAGCTCTGCACTCCGCTGGGAATCAGGCAATTTTGCAGGGACGGGTGAGGAGATGGAGGGATTTTGCATTGGTGTGATAGTCACTTGTCACTGCAGGCGCCGACCTCTAGACCTAAGGCCACTCCTCTCTAGCAAAAACTAACTGATTTAAATGTTGAGATCACTATTCTGTTTTTTTTTCTTCTTTTGGCGCAAAGTAACTGCCCTGACCTTTTCTTTCCATTTTGTGTCTTTTCTGCACAGATGCAGTCATGGTTGGGAACCTTCAACCCAGAGAGAGAGAGACGAAAGGTAATGGCCTGTCTGACCACCACATTTCTCAACACACACTCATGCGTACACACACATACGCGCATACACACAGAGCGTGAGGATTGGAGTGTGTGCAGGATTAACTCTTGTGGACATGCCGGGTAGGTGTCAAACAGGGAGAAATTTGACCTTGCGACATCTACGCTTCTCATTGTGCGTGTGCGTGTGCTTGTGCATGTATATTTGCATGTGGGCGTGCACGTATACGTGTGTTTATATTTGGGGGCCACGGTGCCTCTTTGTTATGCTCCTGACCTTACTGAAACAGAAGGGGAGAGAAGAGGAAAAAACCTGTAAAATATATTCATACTTGGAGAAGTCAGATTGAGAAACAGGACATGAGGAGTAGGGAAATAGGGGAATTGGGAAAGAAAATATTTTGGGGGGGAGAGTTAGCTGCTTCTTGTATGAAATGTATGAAGTCTTTTTCTTCTTAGCTCCACTTCAAATCTCCTCTGATTTTAGGGTGTAGGGTTATGCTCTAACAGAACAGGTTTGTAAGACAAGCTGTCCAACCACATTCATAGTGTTGCTCTCGGTTGCTGACATGAAAAGTAAAAAGAGTAGTTATGTAAGGATAAGAAACGATAGCTTATGAAAGAAGGTCGAACCCTCGCTCCTTCCTCAACTCCACACAGCTGGCCAATCACAGCGTGAAGTGAGCATGATTGTCGGATTTTTCCATTTTGGAAAGTTACAGAAATAGTGGGACACAGAATTGTTTTCTGAAGCTATCTGACCATTGGACAGTTTACTGGCAGCCTAAAATAGGGCTGGGCTCGACAGCTTGCAGCGCACGTATCGACACTCTGCAAGGATGACGTGCATAACGTGCCCAGAGCTGACAGCTAGTCACCAAGCACATTCGATACTGAATGAATTAGAGAAAAACTCAGTATCACACAGTGAAAACTGAATCAAAGGACATGGTGAAGCCCATGATGCCGCTGGACATATTAAAAAAAAACAGAAATCCAATGTTAAAAAGACACGTATTTTAAAAAGTTCAGTAAAAGCATGTTTCCAAAGTCAATAATTATGATCTAAATTTTTGGCCAAATCATTTTGATTATGATTTCTGCCATAATCGAGCAGCCCTAGCTTAAAGGCCATTATAGTCATGGGTACTTCTACGCAGCCTGTCAAAACTCTGGTGATATCATCAGGGTTATGTTGGCATGGGCTTGGAGACAACAAATGTATACCATAATCATAAGCCCTGCATTACAAACTGAGGGAATGACGTTTGAAAGATGTGAGCAGGAAAGGTCTAACCATTGTTATTGGTTACATTACGGGATATATAGGATACAGAGTTTAGTGCTTGACCCATTGTAGTGACTAAGAGTCAGGATATCTTGGCCTCGCTTTCTTTGATGTTAAAACATTCGTTTTGAAATGTGTCTCTTGTGAGTCCCCTGACTTTAAGGGGGTGCTGTACTAAATTGCTGGAACACTCCTTTAAATTAAATAATGCATATCTTGTAAAATGCTGCTTCTGGGAAGTGCTTCTTCTCTTGGACTATTGAAAGCTTCTTGCTATGTCATTTCATCTGCTAGCTGAGGACACTGCATCTTGTTCAGTGTCCTCCAGCAAAACACTAATCCTTTACCTGCCCACACATCATGCATAGCTGTACAGACACCAAATAATTAATAAGCCTTCAAATCCACCTAAATCAAAGCGTTCTCCACAAAGGTTATCAGTCTCACAGTACTGCTCATGAAAGGTTAAAAGCAGCAATCCCTAGTTGTCTTGCTTTTAGTTACCTCCCCCCTCCTCCCTCTCCTCCGCTCAGTTGTTGCACCTCCACCCTGCAGGTTGAGGTGTGGAGGGCAGGTTAGGGTTAAGGTTATGTAGATGCTGCCCCTAAGTGGCAGATGTAATTACTGCACACTGAACTGGCGTAACCTTAACCGTTGACTTGTGTGTGCATGAATATGTGGCAGGAGCACACACACACACACACACACACACACACACACACACACTGTTCATGTGGGCTAATTGCTATGTGTAGTACAGAGTGTAAATAAGTCAGCAGTGGTTTTTATCACGCTCTCCGTTTTCTCGTATTTCTCTTTCCCAGTCGCTCCCCTCGTTTCCATCTGTTTTTCTCTCTGCCTTTCACTTTGGGCTCCATCTCTCTCTCTCTCTCTCTCTTTCCCCCTCTCTTCCTTTTTTCTCTCCCTTTCTCCCTCCCTCCCTCCGTCTCTCTCACTC